TTAATCTTATTTTATTTCATTTCTTACGTAATATTGAAACTTTACTTAAAAATTCTTCATACATTTTTCTTTTTTTTCTCTGCACATCCATTTAATAAGTAGCTTAGAATAATAAGTCATTTATTTATGTACCCATCAGTTTAATATTGTTAGTCTTCTGAACTACTCAGAGTAAACTTACTTTGTAAATAATTTGTTTCTTTAAAGAACACAATGCTCTGAATTCTCGACTAGCATATTTCTTTTTCTCTTGACACTATGAAAAATAAAGCTATAAAATTCTATATTGTATCAAATTCTTTCACTTCTAGATTGTCGTAAAAACCGAATGGTATTTCAAAAATAAAGGTCGTATCGTCACAGTTGAGTTTAAAATAAAAAAAAAATTACTGTTCGTAGTTTCAAATATTACACAATATACGAAACTAAATTGTTTATTAAATAAGTCTCTTAAGAAATATTCTGTACTGCTGTAAACATCCGGTACATAATTAAGCCATTTATTTCAGCCATTCATTGTAATAGACAAAAAAAAATTATAAGCTATGTAAATACGAGTTCTAATACAAAACTTCATCATAATATATGAGCCTTTCGCCTCATCATATTACATTGAAATGTAAGTAGAACAGAAATTTATAGCTTTGCTGTATTTAATTAATTATATTTTTTACAAAGAGCAAAAAAAAAACTCTCAACTTAATCATGACAAAAATAAAAAAGCAAAGAACAAAATGCTATAAATAAATAGAAGTCATATTCAACGATTTTTTTTCTCTCTCATTGCATTCACAACCGTAAGAAATTTTTTTTTATTATGCGCGCCAAGAAATTCTACGCTTTTGTGTTTCACATTTATTAATATAAAAGACACTTAGAATAAAGAAAAAAAAAAAAAAACAAGGTATTCAACAGATCTTTTTATATCCGTTATAATTAGTACGTACCGTTAGAATATTTTCCTTTCTCTTTGGTTAAAAAAAGAAAAATTTGGTTAGTAGAGATTTACCAAAAGCAAAATGATTCTTTTATTTTATTTTTTTTTCTGTCTCTTTTTACTTTTAATCTATTATAGAATTCTATGATGACTGATGAAAGTAATGTTGAATTTCCTGTAATGGTAAAAAAACGTCGTGGAGCTGTATCATCTAAATCATCGTCAGGGACAACTACAACAACTCCATATGTTCGAGAGATTGTTCAAAAAGATTATGCTACAATGTGTGCATTATCAGAAGCAATTAAAAAAAATATTCTATTTAGGTATATTTCATTTTTTATGTATCTATGTTGTGAGTCTTCTTGTTGGTTTTCCTTCCTTTTTTAATTTCAAATAATTACATGGGCTCATCTTATATACGTATGTTCTCTAGTCATTTGGATGAAAATGAACGTGCACAAATATTCGATGCCATGTTTCCTGAAATTCATTTAGCTGGTGATACAATTATTCAACAAGGTGAAAAGGGTGAAAATTTCTATATTATTGATAAAGGTGAAGTAGATGTAAGTTCAATAAAGGTATTAAGAAATAGAATCTATGTTTTATTTTTTCAATTAATACAAAGGTTTATGTGAATGATGAACTTGTTACAAGTATTGGTGAATGTTCAAGTTTTGGTGAATTAGCACTTATTTATGGTACACCACGAGCAGCAACAGTTAAAGCTAAAACAGATGTTAAACTTTGGTCATTATTAGGAGAAACTTATCGAAGAATATTAATGGATTCAACTATAAAAAAAAGAAAAATGTATGAAGAATTTTTAAGTAAAGTTTCAATATTACGTAAGAAATGAAATAAAATAAGATTAATATTTAAGACCAATTTAAAATTAATTATTTAGAAACACTTGATGAATGGGAGCGTCTAACAGTAGCGGATTCANTTTTACGGGCTTTCATTTGGTATAAAATTCATTAGGGTTGGTATTCAGAATTGTAGCGTTACCCCCCCCCGGAATAATATTATTTCCAACCCTGTAGTGAAAACGTTCTTACTCATTTTTTTTTCTCTTTTAATATATATTGAGCAAAACGCACAAGGTTATTGTTTCTATCCAGAAAGACTTCCGTATGTTTTTCAATGAAGAGGATTCATGCAAAACAGAAGTCATATAGATTCATAAGTCAATAAATAGTAGCAAAAGTACGCTTCTTGCGTGGCTGATTACTTTTTTGATGAGCGATGTAGACAAATATGCACATCTTAGAAAGAGAGAAAAATCTATCACTACTTCATATTTAATTATTCATCTTCTCCTATTACTGTTTCATTGTATGCTTTTTCTGTCTCGATATGAATCTTAAGGATTTTTTCAGTCCTCATCAAATCGAATGGTCTGAAGCTTAATAAATGAATGACAGAATTATTTTTGTTCTACTTATATAAATTATTCTTATTCTGAGAATGTGAAAGTACTCAAGAAAAAAAATCTAAGTCAATTTGACTCGATCGGAACTGAATGAAATCTATCGGAATTCAACAGAAGTTTCAGGAGAGATAGTCGCAAAAAATAAATGACACCACGAGTCTGAACAGTTTGAACAATTATTTGCAGTGAAAAAGAATAGAGTATGAATGTAATAAGTAATGAAACATGAAAGAAGATATGTTAGTTGAAATAGATAACAGAAAACAACTGATTTCTTCAAAAAAATACTATCAAAAAAATGAATAAGTCTCTTTTCTCTGTTCTGCTCATTTTCTTTGCTCTTCATATCTTTTTCAATGTTGTTGAATCGTATAGTCGACAAGACACACGACTATGTCGACATCTCAGACTGTCGATGGAATTGTGCAATACGCTGAATTTTGAGGCAGTGTAAAATAAGGAAAAAAATTCTTGCATTTTGCTCGCATGTTGTTGGCGATCAGTATCTGTTGGCCATAAATAAAATTGCTTTTAATTAGCATGTTTGGTGCATCACATGAGTACAGAACAGAAAGTGTAAAACAGAATGAAGAAAAAAATTTGAAAGACAGGAAAAAGAGAAAAGATCTATAGATGAATTGATGAGAACCAATCGATTTTGACGGTTAGAAGATGTCATATTCATGTATTGCTCTTACACCATAGCGAATAATACGGATGAATATCAAGCATACTGTCATTGTCTTCTTTAATTACAGTTCTATTATATGAATTGTTTTTTTTTGCACTAATGGTTAAACTCTCAAATACTTTTAGAAAGTAGCTCTTTCAGGTTCAATACAGAGTTAAATCTTTTATCGCGTTGCAAAATTTAATATGTAGGATTTTTCATCATTGCGAGCTTCCAATTATTTAGATCTCTATCTCTTGCTTGATGAGCATCTATTGGACATTTAAAAAAAAACTAATTAAGCAGATTGATTTCAATTTTAGTGTCTGTAAAAATATGAAAACACCTGTCAGTTTACTCAGTTTATCTTTCATCAGAGTTTTTGATAGAGGATGAAAAAATTGTTTTGAACAAATGTATCATTCACACCAGATTTTTCAGATATGTTAAAGAAATAGGTCTGGATCATTGGAGACTCACAATAATGAAAGAAACTTGACAAAACTCAAGAAAAAATTCGATATATTAAATTTTTACAATTTGAAAAGGACTTAATGCATGTCGAACCTGAAAGGGAGTATTTGAGAGCTTTATGTTCATGAACAAAAACTTGGAAGTATCATCTACTACTAGTACAAAAAAATACAATTGATCCAATAGAGTCATAACGAAGATATAGAATTATCTTGAAGGGCGAGTGTGTTGTAAATTGTATTTTTATTCACACTCCACACCCATACCCTAAAGCGAATTTCTGTTTTCGGACCATAACATACGAATAGATACTTCGTATTGTTACTGCAGAAAATGCCAAACCAGGGAGTTTTCAATGATTTACCGACGATGGTTCGACATTCTAGACATCGCTACTTACAAGACTTACGAGATAGATTGTTCTAGATCTTGGCAATAACTTCTACTTCTCGTCAGGTAAATTTTCGTTCGTTATTGTTATTTGTTACAAAAACGTAATATGAGAGCTGATTTTTTTTGCGCTATGAGAAAAGATGCTTGAAGGATTCTTATTTTAATGATCAAAGACAAAGGACGCAGTTATTTTGTTCTATGAATTATTTGAAAAATCGAGAGTTCTCAAAATTTCTTCTAGAAAGTAATGATCACCAATGAAGAATCACAATTCTATACGCAAGAAATATTCCATAAAAAGAGCAATTCAGTTTATGATACGTATGTTGTTTAGGTACGTCGAATAGTACGAAAAGCAGCACGTAAATCATCAGTGAACAGTTCAGGATGTTCGAAAGCTGCAAAATGACCTCCTTTCTCATGTTCTTTCCAATAGATTAAATTTGAATATTTTTCTTCAGCCCAACTTTTAGGTGCTCGATAGATTTCACGTGGAAAGATGCTGGCAGCGACAGGTAAATCAAGTTTTGGACCTGCAAAACGCACGCCTTTAGCATTTGGTTGATGTTCCCAATAGATGCGAACTGATGATGCACCAGTGTTCGTCATCCAATATAGAGTAATATTGTCCAGCATTTCATCGAGTTCAAGAGCATCCTCGGGATTATCATTATTATCTGTCCATGCATAAAATTTCTCGTATATCCACATTGCTAGAGCTACTGGTGAATCACAAAGTGCATAGCCGATTGTCTGAGGTCTTGTCGAATGTTCATGAGAATATCCTGATCCATCTGTAAGAAATGTATTAGCAGCCTCTACTGCTCGTCGTTCGTCATTCGAAAGTATTTCAGGTATTTTCTCCGGAAAAACTAAAAGCAAATTGAGATGAATAGCAAGAAGTCCTGGTGGATGTATTCGACCGAGGACTGTTGTTATGAGACCTCCCCAATCACCACCTTGAGCCACCCAGTGTTTGTAATCAAGACGTTCCATGAGCACAATCCATGCCTTAGCAATACGTTCGCTATTCCAGCCGGTTTCTGCCGGCTTATCACTGAATGCATATCCAGGAAGAGAAGGAATTACAACATGAAAAGCATCTTCAGCATTGCCTCCGAATGCCGTGGGATCAGTGAGTAATGGGATTGTACGAAGAAATTCGATGAATGAACCAGGCCATCCATGTGTGAGAAGTAAAGGTAAAGCATTATCATGTTTTGATTTTACATGAATAAAATGAATGCCAAGACCATCGATTGTTGTTCGAAAATGAGGTAATTTATTAATTTTATTTTCGAAACGACGCCAGTCATATTTCGTACGCCAATAATCGATCAGTGTTCGAGCTTTGGCAAGTGGTACACCTTGTGACCAATCAGTTACAGTCTCATGTTCAGGCCAGCGCACTAGATCGAGACGATGTTTTAAATCGTCAAGAGTCGATTGTGGAATATTTACATGGAATGGTTCGATGGTGTTCGAAGCTGCCTTCGTTTCGGATGTGTTCATCTTGAAAGGATCTAAAAGTTGTTCGATAAAATTTCAATGATTATTCATATGACAAAAAAAAGACGATATGGAATGCTAGTAACAATGTAAAACCACTATTTATATATGATGATGTGGCTTACTTACTGGTACGTTTTTGTTTCGTTCTCAACTCTCACATGGTTCTAGCCATGCAAAGTTATCTTCGTAAACATTTACTTATACACCCGTCGATAAAGAAAAGAACCAACATTTTTTTCTTCGTGGAGTATAGCTGTAGGTGTGACTGTAATTGTGTGCGTTGGTGTTCGTGGATGGAGTTGTGGATAGAAGATTGTGCGCCAGTGCACAGATGACATTCACGCCATAGACCCACCACACAGCTACCCTCGTCACATACCTAAATCCAAAAAATACAAAATAATGTTCAAGCAACTTTTCTACAAAATCTGAACAATACGAAAGAACTCTGCCGGATAAAATAACTATTCTTCATTTAAGAAACCGTTTATATCACTTTGTAGAGCAACTCGTGGTGTATTGAATAGTATATAGGAACTTACATTCTCATCAGGTTCTAATGTTTTCAGCAGCCATAATCAAGTTAATGGATATTGTAGTACTTGTAAGTAAGATGACCCAATATTATGACTTCCTATACCCCTAAATCAATCTGTAACAGTTTCCAATAGAAAAAGTATTAATGCGAATGAACTTATACTTTATTTATTTTCTTCATATCATCGATCGCTCTCCTATCTATACATCAACACGTATTTTTTAATACTCAACCAAGACAGGGGAGAAAGTGTCAAGGAGAGAGGTAGTCAATGATACATAGTTGCGATTGAAGAAAGGGCAAAAAATGTGATAAAAAGAAATGATAAAAAAGAAAAAGGTTAAACATCATGTATGAGCAATCGATTCAAACAAGTACTGAGAGTAGATGATAACATGCAATACATTCAATTGGCAACGTTAAACAATCTTTATAAAATTTTGTTGAAAACTAATTCAATAGAGTTTTATCTGGTTTTCAATCGTATATATCAAATAATTCTCGGAATAGCTTTCTTGGTACCCAAAACTTCAGCATTTTTCTCAGCTTTAATAATTTTTAGCTTTCACAATATTTGATATTCTTTGATACTAATCTTTAGAATAAAGATCACCATCTGTGCAGTTTTCTCATAAATTGTGGGCTGCCAAGCTGTATATGTATACCAATTGATTGTCTTCTGAATTGAAGTGTGTCATAGTCAAATCGATCAATTAATACCTAAAACAAGCCAATTATTCGAGATCTTAGAATAGAAAAGCTTCTAGCGCAATCCCTTGCGGGATTAAAAATGTGAAACACGATGGATCTGCTGCTACTAATTAAATGGAAATCGTTTTGTTTCATTTCTTTGCAATCCATTTGTAGCGAACCGTTTACCTGATGGTTTAGAACTACAGTTTCTCCGTCACGGTCTGTGATGGGTCTAAAGCCTGTTTGTCAGGGTCTATGATGGATCCAAA